GGCACCGGCGACGTAGCCCATGGGCACCATACCCGGCACGCCGGGCGCATAGCCCACCGACGCCTGCGCGCGCGCGATTGGGTTGATAACGATCCCAGCGCACGACACACACCTCACGACATGATGCACGACACACGCGAAAGTGAGCGCGTACCACCATGCCGGGATGCATCATGGCGGCGCCGCCATAGGGCATGCCATAGGGCGTGGCGACCATGCCTGGGTAGGCGGGCGTCATGCCGACGGCGCCCATGGGGGTCATGCCGGGCGACAGCGGCGTGAGGGTGGGGCCGGCCGCGGGCTTGGGCGAGACGGGGGCCGCAGCGCCGCCCATGGGGCTGCCCCTCCCTCGCCCGGCCGACGTCATCGTCGCCATCGGCCTCTTCTGCTGCGCACCTCCGGCCGCTGCGTTGTGTTTGGTTGGTTGGGGGGGGGGCAAGAATGTGGCATGTGAGCGCTCACAGTCGAATTGAGAGGATTGGGGGGGGGGGTGATGAGGTAATGAGAGAGTACCGGCAGCGGCAGCCTCCTTCTCGGAGAGGCTGAGGTGCTGGAGGTCGAAGAGGTTCTTGTGCTTGTTCCAGATGTCGTTTTGGTTCTCCTCCTTGGCCTGCTCTCCCGCACGTAAGGCGAGTGAATGACAGTGCTTTTGCGGCGGGTGCTGCTGGGGAAAAACAAACAGCGCTGATTGGGGGGGGGGGTAAAGGGTACCTTTCTGGGGTCGTCGAAGCCGACGAAAGCGTCCCACTCGGCCTCGACCGAGCCCTGGCCCTGGGCGGCACCCCTCGGCGGGGCGGTGCCGCTGGAGGACAGGGGCAGAGTGCCGGAACCGCCGGTCGGCGGGAACAGCGACGGGCCGCTCAGGTGCGCGCCGAGCGGGGCGCCCATGCCGGCGGGCGGCGGCGTCGAGGTGGTGACCGGCGTGTCGAACAGGTTGGGCGGCAAGACGGACGAGCTCGAGCTGCCGTTGCCCACGGCCGGCCCGGGGCTCGTGGGGAACAGCGAAGCCGGCTCTGCTCACGTGGGTGGTGGCCACAGTGGGTGAGCGTGCGTGTATCCGATTGGCGGACTTTGTTGGGAGGGGGATGATGGGGAGAAACTTTGGGTACCGCTGGGGAAGAAGGGCGACGAGGTGGAGCTGCCGCCCGTGGCGTGGGTCGAGGCCAGCTCGCCGAAGGGGTCGAACGTGGCGCCGTTGTCCACGCTGGGCTTGCGCGGCACCGAGCTGCCGCCGCCGCCGCCGGCCTGCAATTAATTGGCGACAACAAAGCCGACGGTCAGCTCCCTCCCACACGCGTGTAGCTACATCACAGGCCCCTGGTCCCGAAGCGAGGGGGGCTTAGCGCGGCACGTACGGCAGGAGGCCTGGCACTGGTTCGTGTGGAGGCGGGCAGCTCGAGGTCCGAGTCCGAGTCGGAGTCACTCAGCTCGGACGCGCGGGACCTGTAGGCGCCCGAACCGCCGCCACCCTCCCTTCGGCCGCCGTAGGGGCTCTCGCTCTCCCTGCGGTCGCCGTACGGGCTGCTCTCTCTGCGGCCGCCGTAGGGGCTCTCTCGCGACCTGTACGAGTCGCCGTCGTCGTAGCCGCCTCTGCTACCTCCGTACGAGGGGCGGTCGTCGTAGTCGTTGCCATCTGCAAGCCCGGTGGGCGAGGCCGCCGCAGTCAGTAAGGCCTCGGCGACGCTTGGGAGGGGTTTGGTGGGAGGCGAGGCGAAGCGTACAGCCGCCGGTTCGGGGACCGCCGCGCATGGACGAGTCGGAGCCGTAGCCCTGGTACTTGTTTCGGTTCTTTTGGGCCTTGTCCCGCTCCTCCTTCATGCGCCTCTCGTCGTGCAGCAGCTCGAGCACCTTCTTGGCCCTCTCCCTGACTGCAAGACCGCGGTAAAGAGAGATGAGACGCCGCACCAGTGCACGACACACACACACACACACACACACACACACAGACACAGACACGACACACACACAGAGAGAGACACGACACACACACACACGACACACACACACACAGCCCCGACCGGGGCACAAGGCAAGAGAGCGTGAGAGGAGTATCCACGAACCGCTCTGGCCGACGTCCTGGTAGTTTTCGTCCATGTACTGGAAGGAGGTGAGGTTCTGCAGGTCGACGATGTGATAGCGCATCTCGCGAATGGCCTGCTCGGAGCCGTGCTTGATCAGGAAGTCCAACACGATCATTGACTGCACACCGACACGGCCACCACCATCGACACCGCGCGCGCAAATGGTGAGCTTTGCGTCCACACAGCCAAGGGACACCGACGCTGGAGGTCCTGGCGCGATGCCGAGAGCAGGTGCGTGTGTACCTTGTACACGTGCCTCCAGTCCTTGCCAGTGTCGGCCATGCGCCTCCAGAGAGTGTTCATCACAATGGGCAGGTCCGCGCTGCGTGCGCAATGGGAGGAGAGACAACAATGAGCTGACAATGCCACAGCCACGCGAGGCAGCCGGGCTGCGCTGTGGGGAGTAATGCTGCAACGTACTAGCTGAAGCTGGCCTGTGCTAGGGACTGCATCTCAGCAGTGGTGGGTCCCCACGGCTCATTGGACGTCGCCTCGCGCACTTTAACTTCGATTTCGGGAGTACCCAACGCGTAGTCCTTGCTGCGATCGCAAACGGATCATTTGCAATCAATCATCTTTCAGTATACTCGATTTAAATCGCTGAAAATCCAGCCAACAATTTTGTTGATGACGATCCTACTGGCAGGCCAGCATTCACAGCAAATGAGGACAGCCACGTACCCCATCTTCCATGACTTGTTGGCAACCTTGGTCAAGTCCTTCAAGAGGTCTGCCATCTCGCCGTTCGCAGTGAAGTTGTTTTCTCGCCCCCTTCGCGAAATTATTTGTCGGTTTCAAAATTCTGTTTTTCTTTTTCTTTTTCTTTCTTTGCGAGACTGGCTGCGACGAGGTTCGAAGCCGTACCACCATAGCGCAGGTCCAATGAAACGCGGCAGAACTTGCTCGCGAGCCCGGGTTCCTGCCGACCAGCTCAAAAGGACAACGCACCTTTTTGATTGAAACTGTTCAATCATCATCACTCTCAGTAGCGCCGCAAATCAACAAAACACGCCACTTCCAACAAATGCAATCGCAGGACGAGAGAAAGGTAGGAGCTCAAAACTCATTCCATGTGCTACGCTGCGGCTATCTGTTCTTCATCTCACCAAGATTTTTGGCCAGGGCTTTTTGATTTTTGGCGGCTCGGGCTGGCTCGGTGGCCTCTTGACCGCCATGCTCAAGGAGCAGGGCGAGGTGGTTAACCTGGCCAGGGCTAGGCTCGAGGACAGGGCTGCGATCCAGAGGGACTTGCTTCAGTACAAGCCCAAGTACGTCTTGAACGTGGCTGGCATGGTACGCAGCGCCAATCTTTCCATGTCTCGACACAACAGACGTCGACTCATCTATGATTTTAGACCGGCAGGCCCAACGTTGACTGGTGCGAGGATAACAAGCAGCAGACTACGCGGTACCAATTCTCTTCTCCTCTTCGATGACAAATCTGTCGCCCCTCTTCATTGCTCGAGTACTTACCCTCGGCTGCGCGTAGTGTGAACGTCGTGGGCACTGTCAACCTTGTGGACACTTGCTACCTGGAGGGCGTTCATGTCACCAACTACGCCAGCGGGTGCATCTATGAGTACGACGAGCAGCACACAATTGGAGGCCAGGGCTTCAAGGAGGAGGATGTCCCCAACTACGTCGGCTCCTTCTACTCGCACACGAAGGTCATGGCTGAGAAGGTACGTGAACCGCCCGCTCTAGAGCTTCACATAGGGAACCGTCTCTGACCAGCGCGCCTCCTTGTACGCACAGCTCTTGGAGGTCTACCCCAACGTGCTTACCCTCAGACTTCGCATGCCCATCTCCGATGACTTGAGCCCCAGGAACTTCGTTACCAAGATCAGCAAGTACGAGAGGGTAAGTGTTATCATCCTCAAGCTTACCTGCTGTTCGCTTGAACAGTAACAACGGGGAAAGGCTAACCGATGCTACGTGGTGATGGTTGATGTAGGTCGTCAACGTGCCCAACTCGGTCTCTATCCTGCACGATCTCCTGCCCATCTCCATCGACATGACCAAGAAGGAGCGCAAGGGCGTCTACAACTTCACCAACCCCGGTGCTGCTTCGCACAATGAAGTGCTGGCCCTCTACAAGAAGGTACACCTTCCCACCCCAGCATTGTCTACCTACACGCAACGTGTTGCCCTCGCTGACAGCCGGCCTCGTTCAATCCGCAGTACATCAAGCCTGACTTCGAGTGGAAGAACTTCTCGATCGAGGAGCAGGCCAAGATCCTCAAGGCCGGCCGTTCCAACAATACGCTGGTACGTGCTCAACTTTGAGTGTCGCACTTAAGTGACGATAGATTTGGTTCTCAACCGTGGCGCTTACGCAGGACGTGAGCAAGCTTGTCGCCGAGTATCCCGATCTCCCTGAGGTCCACACTGCTCTGGATCAGATGTTCCAGCGCATGCAGAAGAACTTGGGCCTCAACTGAAGCACAAGAGTAATCTAATCCACACCAAGATCTTGCGTGATAAACATGACACCGTCGAACCTACGGCTCGATCGGGCATTCTCAACTCCTTCCTTGGCCACACTCACGCACAGGGTTCTCCAGTGCAAAGGCCAAAGGCTGAAGCGAACGATGTGGTGGCGTGCTTGGAGTTGGGGCGAAGACGGAAAGAAGGAAGCGAGAGGAGTAGAGTTTTAGGGTTTATTGTGGCTGTATACATACAAGAAGGCGGCGTGGTGTTCGATAGGAAAAAGGCTGAATCTCTTGTGGGTGGCGGGTGTGTTGATGCTGCTTAATCGGAGGACTCTTCCTCCTCTTCGCTTGAGGATTCACGCTTCTTGTCGTACTTGGCCTTCTCCTTCTCGTACCTCTCCTTGTCCTTGTTGGCCTTGGCCTCGTACTTAGCCTTGTCCGACTTGCTGGCCTTGCTCCACTGCTTGCCGAGGAGCTTGCCCAGCTCGCCGAAGGTGGCGTCGGGGTTCTCCTTCTTGACCTTGTCGCGGTTGGCCTGGGCGAAGAACATGTAGGCGCTGAGGGCCTTCTTGGGGGCGTTGGGATCCTTCTTCTTCTTGCCGCCCTTCTTGGTCGACTTCTTGCTCCTCGACGGCGACTTGCTCACGGACCTCCTCTTCTTGGCGGGCGCACGCTCCTTGGAGGCGGCCCTCTTCCTCTTCGAGGTGACAACGCTCTTCTCCTCAGCGCCGAACTCGAAACGGTTGGGCTTCCTGTGCGTTCGCTCGGGGCGGGATGCTGTAGATGGATTAAAGAATTAGCGAATCGAACCTCAAAGCAAGCTTGGGCACAGTACTCTTGATGCTACGGTCTGATTGTGAGATCAGATCGAGCACAAACTCGAACTTCACATAGAAGGGGAAGAAGAAGCAAACGAGGAAAGATATAACGTACAGGCCGCGGTGGGGGCAACAGTCTTGGCCTTCCTCTTCTTGGTCTCGCCGGCGTCGGCCTTGGTGGCCTTGGCGGACTTGGTGGTGGCCTTGCTCTCAGTCTCAGACATGTCGGGGGAGGAGGTGTGCTGGTGGCGCGGGTTGCGATGAAGAAAGCCACCGTACGGCCTCCCGGCACTATTTGTAGTACGCGCGGCCGCTGCCGACCGTTACGGGACTCCTGTACCAGTGTGAAATTTCGCATGCCCAACGGACCAGCAAAGCACACCCACAGCCAATCAGCGCGCTGAAACCGTTGGCAAGACCGTTGCGAGCAGCCGAACGCAACGCAAGAAATTCTCGCCTTTCTGGCCGAGTTCCTCCGTCGCTGCCGGAAAGGCGTCACGCACGTTTTGCTCGTTTCGTTTGGCTGAAGAAGAAGGAAGTTGTAATGGCAGTAGTTCGTTGTGTTGAAAGTGTGTCTGTGTTCCTTCTTGTTGTTCTTGGGGCACGCCCAAAATAAAGAGATAATCATAATAGCGCACGCCTCTCGCCTCCTCTTGTCGAGTCAGTCAATCTAAAGTTGTTTACATCTCAAAATATTACCAGTATCCGTCTCTCCCTCGCGCTCGTTCGTTCGTTGTTGGTGTCTTCCTTCTCCTTGTCTCCTCTCTTTCGTGTTGTACGGTTGCCGCGTCGCGCCTCTTCTTCGCTCTCCTCGCCGTGGCGTGCTGGTTGTGGTTGTAGTGGTGGTATGCAGTTGGTGATGGTGGATAAGTGCCGTCAGGTCGAGGACTACTTGCTCGCTGGCGAGTGCTGACGGGTGTATGTCGCGCCGTTCTCCTCGATGGTGCGGTGTTGATCGTCCCTGGTCTGGTTCCTCCGACGTATGCGCGACTTGACGAGCTCGATCTCGGCGTGGAGCGACGAGAGCAGCTGCGTCTGTCGCTTCTTCTCGAGCTTCATCTCCATCTTCCGGATGTTCTCCCAGTTGAAGTGCTTCACGCAGTCGCTCCGCAGGCGCTCGCAGTGGCCCGAGTCGAAGTCGCCCGTCGGGCAGCCGCAGAGTCGGCGCTCGTCGCTGCCCCGCTTGTCCGAGTGGAGAGGGCAGGAGTCGAGCGGATGCGCGCAGTACCCTCCGCCGCTGCGCGCGTCAAAGCGGTTGCAGTAGGTGATGACGGCGCCGCTGTCGAGCATGCGCGAGTGGAGCTTGTGCGCGCTCAAGACCGCCGGGGCGGCCGACAGCGAGGGAGACGGGCAGCTGATTCCCTCCTTCTTAGCGTAGCACTGCTCGATGTGGCGCCCAAAGTTGCGCCCGGGGATGGGCTGGCCGCAGGAGAAGCAGTCCATGACCTCGACGCCCTCCTGTGATCCCCTGTCGGCGCCGGTGAGCTGATCCTCCTCCATCCTCGCTGGGTCATCGCCGGCGTGAGTCGAAGCCGTGGCGGCGAAGAGGGTGGTCGAGAACTGGACGGCCTTCGCAAACTCCTCCCGCTTGGCGGCGAGATTGCGCAGGTTGTGTTCCACCTCGCCTCGCTGTCGCTCCAGCGACTCCAGCTGCCTGAGGTCCGAGTCGTCAGCCGCCGAAATGTCCGGCGAGTTCTCGAGCGACCTACACGTGATGGGGACACGGAAAGCGGTCAGTCTCTACTAGCGGAGAGAGCGTGGTAGAAGAATGGGGAGATGTTGGTGTTTCTATCACTACCTCTTGATGAGAGTGAAGTTGACAAGGTTCTCCTCGCTACTCGAGTGGAGCGAGACGTCGCACGGCTTGGGCGAGGGCTTGGGTGAAGGCGCACGCGCGGGCTCGGCAGCCGCCACCGCTGCGGCCTTCTGCATTTCGAGGAATTGCGTAGCGACCCGCACGCCGCACTCCGTGCTGCAGTACTTGGACTGAGGCTTGGCCGGGTTATTGCAGTCCTTGTTGACGCACACTCTGCGCGGCATCACATCCTGATGCATAAGTTGGGAAGGGGGCTTAGCTCGTGACCCGCCAGATGAAGGGGAAATGATTGAAATGGGACAGAGTGATTACCTCCTTACTGGAATCGGTTTCGCCTGCCACCACATGGTTGGTGTCGTCTTCGATTATTGATTGACTTTTCCTCATGCCTCCAATTCCATTGGTCCCGATGCTCCTTCGCCTCGCCGCCGATGTTGTCGTTGATCCTGGCATTGTGCCCTTTGTGCGCCCCCTCGCCGCCGCCGGTTGCCCCTTCGCTCGCTTTCGCCTCTGTTGTTGATACTCGTGGTAGTTCTCCTTCTCGTACTGATCCTCATCGTCGTCCTCATCTTCCACATTTACCTCGACATCTTCCCTCACCTTTACCACGCTCCTCCTACGCTGGCCAGCCGCTCGTGATTTGGTACAGGGAGGGCAGACGTAGATCTTCAGCGACTGCGCCTTACGCTCGGTCATGCCCACGCATTCGCCATGGAACCAATCGTTGCATACGTCGCAGGCGATCATGAACACCTCTTCGTCGTAGGGTTGGCGACACAGGCAGTAAAGCGGTTCATCTTCCTTTCGCTGTCGCTTGATAGGCTACATACATTGGGGGGGGAGGGGATGTTAGCGTGATTCAAGGCGATGTGACGACAAGGGGCGAGGTACCTTTTTCGATGAGGAGCCAGGCTTCCTACCCGGCCGACCCCTGCGAGGTTGCTCGGGCTCAGAGTCGGATGGGGATGGAGAAGGTACATCGCCCCTCAAGTTGAACATGGCCGCCTTGCGAGGAGGAAGAACATTCTGATTGGAAAAGGTGAAGCGCTCCTTCTCGTTAGGCTCTGGGATCTTGCGCTTCAGGGCCTGTTAAAAGATGATTAGACTCACGTGATGATGCGTTTGAGAAAACAGGAAATTATTCTGTGGGTACCGATTGATTAAGAGGCTCTAGGCGGACGGGGGCGGATGTGGATGAGGGGCGAGGGGGAGGCGTCGTGGGCGTCGATGGAGGACTCGCCGATGATCCCAACGACTTGAGCCGCTTGCGAGGGGGAAGGGCGGCAGGATTGAGGTCGATGAAGGTTTCCATCCTAGACCTTACTGGTGATTGAGCTCCTTACTGCGTACGAGTAGACAAGATGAATTAATTTTCAGCTCTTGCGATGTGGGTGATGTCGTGGCGGCTAACGAATTTCTCGGCCTCGCATCCAATTCTTCAAATGTTGCCGGTGTTTTCCAAACCCGGAAAAAACCACACACCAGTGCGTATTTATAAAAATAAATAAAAATACGTGGATGCAAAAAAATAGTGATCTGATAAATAAATAATTTTGTAATAAACACGAACAAGAATGGGAAGCTTCCTCGCGTGAGACAAAGACTTTGGATCGTGGGGGTGAGGCACCTTTGCTTTCTTTCCGGTGGGTGGTTCTTGTCGGATTGAATTCGCGTTGGAACACGCAGGCCAGTAGTAGTGCCACACCGACACCATCACCAATACGGCGGCGGCCAGTAGCAAGGTGGGTACGGCGGGCAGGTGGAGAGCGGCCTCCGGACCTCGTCCCTCACCGCAGCACTTGTCCAAATCCATGGCCGCTACGCAGGAGTAGCTGCCAGGATCGATCGACAGCGTGTTCATGGCTTTGGTGGCTTGGGGAAACTGCGAAGCACTGAAACGCATTGTTTCGTTTGACCAAATTTCTGTTCCGTTTATTTTATTTATTTGTGTTTTACACAAATTTGCAACAAGATGGAGGCGCCAAGCCAGCAGGGAGGTGTGGCCACCCTGGACCAGCTCAAGGAAATGTTCTCCCTCTTCGACAAGGATGGTGACGGCACCATCACCGTAGATGAGTACACGCCTAGGTTTCGTTATTTATTTATTATTGATTTATTAATCCATAAATCCAACACCACACAGGCTGGAGTCGGTGATGCAGTCCATGGGCCAGAACCCGAACAAAAAGGAGCTCGAGGAGATGATGAACGAGGTGGACACCGATCACAACGGCTACATTGACTGCGGTACTACCAGCCACCGGCGCGAGCGCTGCCTCTGCTCGCATCGTGTGGCACTTACCGTGGGGTGTGGCCGTCCACCGTGCGTGTAGACGAGTTCGTGCAGCTCATGCAGAAGCAAACGTCGCACAGCAGCGAAGAAGAGGCCCTCGGGGCCTGGAAGCTGTTCAACAAGAAGGGCAGAGACGTCATCTCCGCAGCCGATTTCCGGTACCACTCGTCGACACTGCGACTGGCGTCAAGCTTGAGCGATGCCGCTGACCATCATCACCATCACCATCATGGCCACACTACTTGCTCGGTCTATGCATGCGCGTGCAGGGAAGTGATGACGAAGCTCGGAGACACGCCACTCACGCACGAGGAGGTGGATGACATGCTGCGGACATCGGGCGTGCGCGGTGACGGCGAGATCACGCTGGAAGAGTTCAAGACGATGCTCCTAAACAACAACTGACGGCCACTCACCAAGGTGCCGCGCTGGGTTCGCAGGGTCAAATGAAAATTAATGTTATATGTACAGTGCTCGATCGCCCCGGCGACGATGATGATGGTGATGAGTGGAGCGATCCGAGGCCTCAGTTGCGCAGTTCGCTCAGGCCGAGGCCAATGACGATGTCGGGGTTGCGGATGGCGCCCTCCTTGTACTCCTCGATCGTGATCTTGCCGTCGCCCATGGAGTCCATCTGCTCGAAGAAGGCGTCGGCGAGCTGCTCCACGGACTCGAACTTCTTGCCGGAGAAGGTCACCACGTCGCCGCCTACGAGGTTGAGGAACGAGGTCATGATCTTGTTCATGTCCTCGCGCGTGATGTGGCCCTTGTCGTCCAGGTCGTACATCTGGAACGCGACTACACACTCAACGTCAGCCAACGCAACGCAACACGAAACGAAACGAAACGACACGACACACACAACGTACATTCGAGCTTTTCGTCAGGCGTGCCTCGCGTGATGATGGAGAGGGCGAGGACGAACTCGGGAAAGCGGATGCAGCCGGTCTTGGTGCCGTCGAACACCTTGAAGATGAGGTCCTGCAGGAAGGGGTCCTCCACCCCCATCCGCTGCAGAACCCCCTTGAACTCGGCCTTGGTGATCACGCTCGTGGGGGCCTCCTTCTTGAACCACTTGAACATGTCGCTAATCTCATTCAAGGCGACTTCAAGAAGAAAGTAGAAGGCAGAACCAAGAGAAAGAAAAAGTTTACCAACTGCTCGTCCAGGCAAGAGAGCTCTTGCAATTAACGTACAATGCGAACGCCGGTGAATGTCCTCGAGTTGCTCTCGGCTCAAGTGGTCGCCTTTGTCGTCCTTCTCCTTGCCCCCTTGATTGCCCATCGTTTCTTGATGTGTCCGTTGGCGGCAGTGCTTCGAAAATAGGCAAAAGTAGGACATCAAGTTCCTACTTCCCGCCAAAAAAATTAATCACAATTTAACTCAAAATCTGCAGATGGAGTGGACAACTCCCATCGCCGGTCCCGAACTCGTCTTGTTCTATGGCCCGCCTCAATCGGTACGCCAAGGGCCGTGTTCTAGCTCACTGAAAACGCAATAAATAATTGTCTTAAATCAACTTTTATGTTTGCAATCCTTGTGGGCAGGGCAAGACGCGCTACTTCGAGAAGCAGCTCAAGTCGACCCACATTCGTGTCTCGGCCGAGGACACCTTCCGCGCACAGCCACACATGTCCCTCCACCGGGTGGTGAACATGGCCATGTCGCATCTGCAAGCCGGCAAGAGCGTCGTCATAGGCATGCTTGCACAGACCCCCTCGCGTGTTGCGTGTTGCGTGGGTACGATCCTCACTCCCTTTGCTTGCGACAGATGACACCAACAGCAAGAGGGCCACACGAGCATCCTACATTCGAGGTTCGGCGCACTCGTTGTGGTTGGCGTTTGTGTGTGCTTGTTTGCCGACATTGCTTCTCGCGGTGTCCAGCACTGCGCAGTCGGCTGGCGATGTGTCGCGTGGTGTGCATCAACTTTAAACCCCTGGGCGATGTATTGCAGTGCCAGGTGCGACCAATGGACGGTGCCCCTCGTGTCCCCATTTCGTTCTGCTCAGCACTTACTCCATTTCACACGGCAACACGGCACACGACACACACGACACATGCACGATGCGAAACCCACTGCAGTGGCAGAACGAGTGGGCTCGGGCGGCCTCTCTCGCGGCCAAGGGTACGTCACTCGCGCAATGTAGAAGCGGCCCAGAAGTCGTCGTTGGCTTCTGATCGGGCTCCAACCGCCATAGAAGAGGGCCACGTGGGCGAAGCAGCGAACATCGGCGTCGTGGAGTCAGAGGCCTGGGACAACTGGATGGCCGACGCCGACCCACCAGACGCAGTACGCGCTCCCCTGTGTCGTGTGTGCGTGGCGTGGCGTGCGTGTGTCGTGTGTTGTCGTGTGTCGTGTGATGTGCAGCGCATTTGACAGCTCTGCGCAGAGCGAGGGCTTCGACGAGATCAAACTCGTGGAGTGCTCCCTGCGATCATACAGCAGCACGCCCTTCGACACCAAGGTAGCCCTGGACCCGCAACGCGCTCCCTCTAATCTCGAGAGCTATCATGGTCTATGATCATGTAGGGTCTGACTCCGATCGATCCACGGGCGCGCAGGGGCTGATGATCGACGCCGAGGCCCTGTACGAGTTCAACGCCGAGCTCCTGTCCGACGCCTTCTTCGGCGGCACGCTACCGGGTGCGGTGCATTTCGTGGCATTCCGGAGGCGTACATTCCTCACATTCATCATCATCGTCCGGGCAGGTGGGGACTGGGTGAAGCTGCGCGATGACGTCGAGCAGGTCCTGTGCGAATTCCAAGACAATTTTGCCAAGGCTCGGTTCATCGTGGTCATGAACGAGGCCAGCATCCTCCCCGCCGAAGTCCACCTCCTGGACCCCACCCAAGTACGTGTGTGCGGCACCGCACACGCACACGCACCACCGCACATGCAGGCATAACCCGAATTCTCTGACGAACGTGCGTGGTGTCGACCACAGTCCGAAGTGCAGTTTTCGCGCTTCCGCACGCGGCTGATGGACGAGCTGGCCAAGCTGTCGGTCACCACGTACTACCTCTATCTGCCGCGACGATCGAGTATCCACTCGGCCTTCCTCAAGCCTCCCTCGCCCGGATTCATTGCCTGGTACGCATCGACCGCACTACCCCAACCTCGGCTGGCTCATCCCCGCGTGTGCCGCGCCGTGTGCGTGTGTGCGTGTGTGCGCGTGTGATTTCATGTGTGTCGTGTGTGTCGTGTGTCGTGTGCTTAGGCTGCAAGAGCGGCATCGGCTGATGCTGTCGGAGAGTCTGTTCGTGGTGCGTGAGAACTCGCCGCTGGCAGCGGCGGCGAGGGGCTACGTCACGCAGATCCACGGCGAACACTTCTTCAACTCCTCCGGCTGGCTCGTCCAGAGCAAAGTGTACGCGCATTGATGACGCCACCACACGACACACTCGCCGCGCACCGCACACACATGACACGCAACACACGGCACGAGACACATACACCGCACACACACATGCACGCGTCAAACTTGTGACGCGTGACCGTGTGCTGGCCCAGGCGCATGCACTCCCGAGAACCGACGGCCAGACCGGCCTTCCTGAGCTCGATCGAACCACCGGTGGCGGCTGAGGAGAACGCGGCGGACGGCCTCCTGCTGGGCGGCGATTCACCCGCTCCGCCTCTGTGCACCGCCGCCAACCAACACAAATCATCGCGTACGCACATAACCGAACGACTCTTCGTGTGCGTGTCGTGTTGTGTGCAGTTGGTGACCTGGTTCCTTGTGTGATGTGTGTTCGCCGCCGGCCACAGGAGGGCGCAGCGAAACGATCGACGACGTGCTCATGCACGGCCTTGTTCTCCCGGTCAAGGTGAAGAGTGAATTCGAGTTGAACGTCCACCACGCTCCAGCTACTGCGCCAGCCATTCCCACGATTACGGCCCCGACGAACGAACTGTCGGCGCCGGTGACGCCCATACCGCGCGAGAAGCAGCGCTCGGCGGCGGCCAATCTCCTGCGGACGCCCACGACGCCCAACCCGGCGCTCGACTCCCCGTCGGGCGTCTCCCCTCGTCGCCGGCTGCCCGGCTGGATGTCGCCCGGAGCCCCCAAGCCAATGTACGCTCCTGATCAGTTCTTGGTCGTGTGTGCGTGTTATGTCGTGCGTCGTGTTGCGTGTGCGGCGCTTGTAGCTGAGCGTTTGGCCTGTGCGCAGTAAGCCGCGGATGCCGAAGCTGAGCGAGGGCGAGGGTGAGGCCGACGAACCCAAGACGCCGGCGAAGAAGAAGAAGACGGCTACAAAGCCCAAAGAAGCAGCTGCACCGGAGACGCCCAAAAAAGCCAAGCCGGCACCCATCCGCAAGGTGCGCCAAACGCAAACGCTAACAACAATGAAACAAGTTTCGTTTGGATCTCAACCATGCGTGGTGGCGTGCGTGAGACCAGGGGGCAGCGGCGACGGCGGTCAAGCAGGAGGAGCCCGAGTCGCCCACGGAGGACCTGCTGCTCTCCCTGGCAAAGATGGTAGCCCCCCCAATACCCCCCCCCCCAAAGCCTCTACGTAGCGGCTCACGTTGAATCATTTCCGCGGCCAGGAGGAGGATTCCGAGGATTCCGAGCTGCTGCCGTCGCAGCCCACCTTGAGCAGCGGCAAGCGCAAGCGCGACGCGTCGTCGGTGAAGCGCGAGCTGCCAGATGCGGGGAGCGTCAAGCCCCGCTTTGTAATGGCCGACGGCGACGGCGGTGGGATTGACGACGCGGGCGGCTCCGACGGAGACGCCGATGACCTTCTGCGACGAAGACGGAAGCGGCCGCACACGACTGTAGCGACCCGACACGACGACGCCACGCCCGAAACGGATGACGGGATGGGCCACGTCGACCTACCGTGGCCCTCGCCGCCTACGAGCATCGCCGCCTCAGCCACTGCCACGACGACCACCAACATCACCGACTCGCTGCCTTCGTGGGAGGAGCCGGCCTGGCACGCCTCCAGCGCCGCCGGCACCGGCACGACCACGCCGCCGCCTTCGTGGGACGACCTGCGATCGATCGCCGCCGCCGCCACCACGACAACGACGACTACGGCCAACCCAACAACGCCGCCCTGGGAGGAGTTCGTCGCGCCCGTCGAAAGACGAACAGACACGCTCAACGATGACCTGCTGCCCCAATTCACCGCTTCGCGAGCCACCACCAACGCCAGCGCAGTGGAGAGAACATCATCATCATCGACAACGACAACGCCAAATCGCCATCGCGACCACCAGCGTCGCCACCACCGCCAGCCACACCCATGCCACTGATTTTAACAACGGCGACTGCGGCGACTACGACAAGCGAGGGAGGGCTGGGCGCTGGGATGGCGACGCCAACAACGCCGGCCAAGCCCAAGGTGAGCCTGCGCGAGCAGCTGATGGGTCGTGGCCTCCTATCGCCCAACAAGCCCAACCTCTTCTAAAGCTCCTTCACACACTAACTCGAACTGTTTTGTGTAAAATGATAAAACCAAATGAAAATGAAAGAGAAAGTGCAAAAAAATTCAATCACAAGATGGAGAGGGAGCCATCCACGGGGGTCAAGCGACCGTTGCAACGGAAGGAGGAGGGGGAGACGTGGCAGAGGACACAGATGCAGCGGGCACTGCGAAGAAGCAACGCACCGACGAGGCGGCCGCAGATCATCCATCGCAGGAGAACACAGATTCGACGGAGTTCCTCACCGAGGCGTGCTTTGCCGATGAGGCCGGGGTGGGGCCACTCACCCTCCGCCACCTCCACGTACCCCCCCTTGGCCCTTCTACATTTTTTATTTTCTTCATTGATTTATTTATATATATTCCAGGAGGCTGGCTTCAAGCGTATGACCCGCGTCCAGCGCGCCTCCCTCCCAGTCCTTCTTCAAGGTGCAGTTCCCCAACACACGCACGACCGCACGACCGCACGACACACGCAACACGCGCACACGCGCGGCGGCCTTGGTCAGATCAAGATCGACTGATTACTACTACGACCTCGTGCAGGGAAGGACGGGCTGGTGGCGGGCAAGACGGGGACGGGCAAGACCCTGGCCTTCCTGGTGCCCGCCGTCGAGCTGTTGCGCCGGGCCGGCGTCGATCCCGCACAGCGCGCCATCAGCGTCCTCATCATCTCCCCCACTCGCGAGCTTGGTCCGCACCTTCCCGCTGTCGTGTGTCGTGTGTATCGTGTGTCGTGTGTGTCGTGTGTGTCGTGTGTCGTGCGTGCGGTTATTGTGTGGTGGTTGGTACTAAGGATCGATCCACGCTGCAGCGATGCAGACCGTGAAGGAGGCGTGGATGCTGGCGGGCGGCCCGCGCGGCGACATCAAGGTGGGGTGCGTAATGGGCGGCCGCGACTTCCTCGCCGAGCGCCAGGAGATGCAGGACGCCCCCGCCATTCACATCCTGGTAATATCCTATTATCCTATTATCTCTTCTTTCTTTTTCTCGCATTTGCTTTCGCTTTCGCTTTCGTGGATCGGTTGGGGAGCGCTCGGTCTCACTGTGAGTCTCTTGGGCGCCAAAAGGTGTGCACGGTCGGGCGGCTACTGGACCACCTGAAGAAGGACGACGCGCTGCGCACGCGCCTGGCCGACCTCCGCATGCTCATCCTGGACGAAGGTACCCGCCCGGCTCTCGACCCACATCTGAAGCAACCGTAGCTGAGACCCGCTGGTCGTACGTGTCGTACGTGTCATGTGTCGTGCGGTCGTGCGGGAGCAGCCGACACGTTGATGCAAACGACGTTCGAGCAGGAGATGGGCGAGATCTTGACCTTCCTCCCTCCCGCCGACCGAAGACAGACGCTCCTCTTCTCCGCCACCATTCCATCGACCATCCCCGTTGTACGCCCGCCTCTCCATTGCCCTCATCGCTCTGTGGCTGTGCGTGTCGTGTGGCTGTTGTTGTGTGTCGTGTCGTGTCGCCCGACGAAGCGAGCGAGCTTACGGGGCTGTCCGTGTGTGGGGGCGGCGATTCGCGCAGGAAGGGCTCATAAGGGAGGACTACACGCTGGTGGATGCCGTGGACAAGAGCGACGCAATCACCAACGTCAACGCCACCCAGCAGTACCTCGTCGTGCCCCTCGCGTACGCCTCCCCTCCCGCGAAACGAAGACTTGCTGCTCCCACATGGGATCTTCAATCCACGCACCGCTTCGCAGGAGGGCACACTCTCTATCCAGTTATTTAATTTCTAGAAATTCAACAAAACGCTCTCATTGCGTGCCGATACATCGTATAGGGACACGGTGCGCGCGATCTACTCGCTGCTGCTGCACCACACGACGACCAACGCCCGCTACAAGGTGCGAGCAGACCCGTAACAGACCTGCGCCCCACATCCTCCAGGTTGTGACTCACCACCTGGTCGTCGCTTGTGTTTGTTTGTTTGTTTGTGTCGACATAAACACACACACACGCGCCTCAAAACTGCACCAGATCCTGGTGTTCTTTGCCACGGCGCGGCTCACGCAGTTCATGAGCATGCTCTTCACCCAGGTCTTCCACATCCCGACCCTCGAGATCCACTCCCGTCGGGCGCAGGTAACGCATACCAACTCAACTCGACTCGACTCAACCCAACCGCCGCTCTTCATCATCAGCCCTGTCATGTTGACCCGTCATTCGCCCACCAATGCACGGATATGCGCAGGACAAGCGAACGGCCACCTCGGACGACTTCAGGAAGCAGGACAACGTCATCCTCTTCAGCTCCGACGTCTCCGCGCGAGGTGACCGCACCGCTCGTTTGTGCTGTGTCCCGAAGCTCACAGTCCGTGTGTGTCGTGTGTCGTGTGTCGTGTGTGTCCGCCAGGTATGGACTACGAGGACGTGACATTTGTGCTGCAGGTGGGGCGGGCGTCGAACCGGGAGCAGTACATCCACCGCCTGGGCCGGACGGCCCGCGCGGGCAAGGAGGGCTACGGCCTCCTGCTGCTGGCCCCGCACGACGAGTCCTTCCTCGCGGCCCTCCACGACCTCCCCATCCTCCCCACCACCGCCCCAGCCGCCCACGGTACGGCCGCCCACATTTTTTCCTTTGATTTCCTTTCCTTTCTCACAACCGCACACGCACACGCCGCACACCACCGCACACACCGCACGCGATGTGATGTGATGGTGATGACGAAGGAGACACGCCGTTGCCGGAGACGATGGTGGAGGAGTGGAAGCGAGGCGTGCACAGGCGGGGCGAGCTCAAGTCGCGGGCCGTGCAGGCGTACCAGTCGTGGCTCGGGTTCTACAACAGCCACAAGAAGCAGCTCGACTGGGACAAGGAGCGTCTCGTGGCCGAGGCCGCCCTTTTCGCGGTCGAGTGCCTCAAGTTCGCCGCGCCGCCCGCCATCCTCCACTCCATCGCCAAGAAGATGGGACTCGGCGACGTCTCCTCCCTCCCTACCAAGAAGTGAGTCGTCGCACACGCTGCACGAATAAACAAATATTTATTTGTTTTTATTTGTCAAACAAGAAGTGAAAGATGGAAGGGGCGAGCCAGGAAGGTGGAGAGGCGGCGGTGTTGGTGGATGAAGGGTTCGAGCAGAAGCTAATGGAGCGCTACTTGAAGAGCTGTTTGAGCATTCTGCCGCGGCCATACGAGAGTCAGGACAGCGTGCGCACGACCATCCTCTACTTCGTTACGTCGAGCCTCGACGTGCTGGGCTTCCTCGACTCGCCTGCCGCCGAGGCGCGCGGCCTCATGCCCCCAGATCTGCGAGCCACCGTCATCGAGTGGCTCTACGCCATGCACATCCCTCGCCCCACCCGTACTCTCCCCATTTCTTTTCAATTTATTCCATTTACTCTTTTGCAATCAAATATATTGTTTGATTTATGTCGATTTATCATTTAATTGGAAAAGATGGGTAAACGTTTGTACTGATACTCGAAATGGCGCCCAGACGAGGCAGAGGATGAGGAGCACGCGGCGCCGCGTTGGGGCTTCCGCGGGTCGCCCTTCCTTGGTCTGCCCTGGCACGTGTGCGGCGTACGTGTTTGCCCGTCACCCCCAACCGGCACGCACGCACGCAACACACGCACCGCAGGCTACGCGCGTGCGACAATGATACGTTCTTGCTCGGCTGACGCGGTGTGCGCACACAGCAGGACGAGCACCAGCACGCCGCCGCGGCTGCGGCCGAGAGCGACGGTCGCCACGAGATGGACTGCGCGCATCTGGCCACCACCTACACGGCCCTGTGCACCCTGCGCGTGCTCGGGGACGACTTTTCGCGCCTCGACCGCGCCGCCATCCTCTCCGCCATCAAACACCTCCAGCAGCCCGACGGCAGGTCGCCACCACACGCCCTCGTCTCCGGCTCACTGCGATGTGCGTTGACCGTGTGTGCGGTGTGTGCGGTGGCAAAGTGCAGCTTCAGTGCCAACGTGGGCGGCAGCGAGAGTGATGTGCGGTTCATCTACTGCGCGGCGGCGATCTGCTACATGCTCCAGGAGTGGTCCTTCGACGTACCCAAGGCCGTCCGCTACATCCTCTCCTCCCAGGCACCACATCCACCTCCCCATCCTCCACACTCGCTCCGCATTCTCTCTTGCTCACATGTGCGGCGTGCGTGTCGTGTCGTGTCGTGCGGCGTGTGTCGTGTCATGCGTCGTGTGTGTCGGAGCGCAGACGTACGAGTACGCGATGGCGCAGGGACCGGGCCAGGAGGCGCACGGCGGGTCGACCTACTGCTCGATCGCGACGTTGGTGCTGACGGGTTTCCTCGACCACCTGCCGCACCAGGACAAGCTCACCCGCTGGCTTCTCGAGCGCCAGGTCACCGGCTTCCAAGGTTCCTCCCCCTCCCCCGTCCGTGTGCGGTGCGTGCGGTGCGTGCGGTGCGGTGTGCACCGTGTCTGACTGTGTGCCGCAGGGAGGGTGAACAAGGACGCCGACACGTGCTACTCGTTCTGGATCGGAGCGTCACTGAAGATGCTCGACAAGCTCCACCTGGCCGACTACCGGCTCAGCAAGGCCTTCACCATGAGCTGCCAGACCCCCATCGGTTCGCTCTTTTCTTTTCTTTTTCTCTTCTCTTCCTCGAAGTAAAGCTAATGATGAAGGTGATGGCGATTCACAGGAGGGTTCGGCAAGTGCGTGGAGAATCCGCCGGACGTGCTGCACACCTACATGGCCCTGTGCGGCCTGAGCATGATGGGCGCCCCCGGCCTGCGCGACATCCACTGCGCCCTCGGCATGACCCAGCGAGCAGCCGGTGGCTTCGCCTACCCCCTGCGCACCGCCCGCGACGCCCTCGGCCTCACCCTCGACTGAGCTACCCTTCCCCCTCCCCCACGTTCATGTTGGTTGGAATGCGGAGTATATATTAATTTGTAGAATGTGACACATTCCAGCCCACTGTTGAGGGTGGTTCTCATCCGTTGGCGTTGACGAGGCCTCGTCGAAGAAGCGGACCACTTACTCGTCTGTGGTGGTCGCTTGCGGGCCTTCCTGTGCCAGCACCGCACCATCATGGCCCGGTAGTCCCGGTGCCAGTAGTCGTCGAGAAGCTTCCGATTGGCCGCCCCGAACGCCTCATCAGCGTCGGCTTCGGATTCGGCTGCGGCCGAGTCGTGGCGCAGGTTGTCGCGGGTGGCGCGCAGGGCGATCGCGGCCGGCATCTGGGCGCGTCCGCGTGAGCAGTTCCCACAGCACCACCCCGAACGCGACGTCGGCCAGCGCCTCCAACACTACTTCGTCGCCATCGCCTGCCGTCAGCACCTCGGGGGCCAAGAAGGGCACGCAGCCGACCAGGCCGCGCCGGTGGTGGTGGTGGTGGTGGTGGTGGTGGTGGTCTCGTGGAGCGAGCCCAGGGGCGTGTGGTCCGTCACCACGCTCAGCCGCGGCCTGGCGTGTGCGCGCGACGCGTCAAAAATGGTGTACGTGCGAAGTAGTGCAGTGTGTGCGGAAAACCGGACGAAGCCGCCGTGTATGGCGACGATGTGTGGAGCGCGCAGGGTGCTGACCACGGCCACTCGGCGGCGAACGCCTGTTGGCTGGACTCGCCCTCGGCAGCGGCGCGGGACCACTGCCACCGTAGTCTCCTTCACACAGCCTGCCCGAATACACAGTCAGCCACATGTTGTCGTCGCTGTCGTGTCGTGTCGTGTCGTGAGGCTTGTGCGGAGAGTGGGCACACCTTGCGGATCTGGCCGAAGCGCCCGAGGGCGATGGGGGCGCCCAGCTCCAGCTCTCTTTCGTAGGGGCGAACAAGACGTCGTTGGTCAAGTCGCGAACTGGCGGTGTGCGAGAGGTGCTTCTGAGTGGGCCTCGAGGCCGGCCGAACACAGAATGGGCTTTTAGCTCCGTACCAAAATCAAAAAAACGTTTGGCCTTGTGTTTTTTTGCTCCACGTTTCGCTGTAGATTGGCGCGTGTAACCCGTTACGGGACAGTTTTAACTGGGAGTTTTGTCGACCGATCAGGTGACAAACAACGTGTCCACTACACGGACGCCTCCTTGGGCTTGTCTGCTTCCTCCTTCCTCTTCTGCTGCTCTCCTTCCTCAGTCGTCACCGTCTCGTCGGCGGGCTGCTTCTCCTTTTCGGCGGTGCTGGCGAAGACGTCTTCGATGGGCGGCTGGCCGGGGAGCCGGGGCGGGAAGTCGAGCTCGATGGCGAGCACGTCGAGCTGGAGGATGTCGGTCTCGCAGCCCAGCAGCAGGCCCAGGTTGGGGGTCGTGCGGCCCAGGTCGCCGTGCACGAACTCCTTCACGTAGGTGCCGGCCTGCGTGGTCAGGTCGAGCGTGATGAAGTGCGGCGAGATGTACTGCGCCCGCATCGCGTAGATCGTTCGCTTGCGCACCATCAACGTTCGTCTGGGTCGTCACATGTCAGGACACGACACACACTATGACACACACGACACGCACACGACGAGGTGGTGGTGGCGGTGGTGGACAACAAACCTGTGGAGCACGCGGATGGGAGTGGTCTGGTCGATAACGAGGTCCTTCATGCTTTGGAGCGGGAGAAGGTCGTCGGGGGTGATGGCCTTGGCCAGCCACACCACACATCGGTACGTCTTCTTCTTGTCCTCCTCGCCCGCCTGCACCGCCGTGCTCTTATCCCTAATATTTAAAGAAAATGTTCGCACATACCACACATGCCACATATGCGTCGCATAACGATGTCCAGTTAGCCACGTACACATGCACAACGATCTCAAGAATGCGTGTAGTTGCCCGAGAGGGAAATCGTACTTGGTGATTCGCTGGAGGTCGCGGATGCGGACGAGATGGGTCGACTCGTTGACTTCGCGCTGCATCTCCATGTACTGTGCGGGGGTGAACTTGGTCCGGTGGGGATCCACGACCTCCAGCACGAACGGCCGTCCCTCCGCCAGCATGCGCACGTCGATGTCCTCCCGTCCCGACGAAGAAAATCTCATCTCTACGATCCGCGTGTGTTGTGTGTGTGTGCGTTGTGTGGTGTGTGTGTGTGTGTGTGTGTGTGTGTGTGTTGTGTGGTTACGTCAGCATGCAGGTACGAACAAAGTGCGCATTCTCGTTAGCTCGATGGGTACCCTCGGCTTGGAAGTGTTTGTTGAGGGGTCCGGTGATGAGCTCCTGCACGGAGCTCTCCGACACGCGGGCGCCGTCCGCGACCCAGGGCGACTGGCTCAGCTCGCGCGAGAACTTGGCGTAGCGTCCTGCGTGCATTGCCAGGGGGAGTGGGGACGTGTTAGCTACACAGTGACGGCGGTGAGCGGTATAGCATAGCGACGGCCGCACCGGCGAGGTAAATGGAATCGTGGAAGAACGTGAGTTCGCACTTGGCCCCTTCGTTGATGGGCACTGGGGGAACAGCTCCATACCTGGGATCGCGCAGTCAGAACAGAAGAAGTGGAGTTGATGATGGAGGGAGAGCGCACTTGATGAAGGTGGTCATGGGCAGGTTGCGCAGGGTCTTCGTCACAGCTGTGAGGGACGCCTCGTCGCTTTCGTCCCGCTTCGAAGCCTCCTCGTGCCCCTGGATTCATTAAATCGTGAATAAGTCAACCATCAGATCTGTGTTGGGGGAGAGACGAAGAGAGAATTGAAGCAAAAGGTGGGCACCTCGAGGGGAGCTGCGCGTTGCCTGCCGCGGTGCTGCTGCTGCTTCTTCTTTCGCTGGGGACGCATCCCCGACTGCTCGATGTCGTAGAGGAAATGGTGCTCCGTCTCAGTCTCCGCGTGCTTGTACTTGATCCCCACGTGAAACAGCGACTGTGTGGCATGTGTTGCGTGGCGCAACACTTTGATCGTTAGCACGAGGTCTGGCGCACAGAAGACGAAGGACGCGAACGCGCACGCACCTCGCGGGAGAAGTTGAGACCGATGCGACGGCGGAGCTCGTGGCCCAGAATCCACTTCATGGCTTCCTTGATGTCAACGATGGTGGACTTGTCTTCAAACTCTTCCGTAAATCTTCGAAGTGATTGTAGCATGTCAGGCGATTGATGATCGTGCGTGCGTGTGTGCGTGTGCGTGTGCGTGTGCGTAGTGCGTGTGCGTGTGCGTGTGCGTGTGCGTGTGCGTGTGCGTGTGCGTGTGCGTGTGCGTGTGCGTGTGCGTGTGCGTGTGTATAGAAACGTACTTGTGCGTGGCGAGGAGGTGGTAGTGGAGGGCGTATTGGCGGGTGACGGTGGAGGCCGGCATGGTGATGGTGAGCGAGTAGTCCGAGAACTCGTACTTGCCGGTGCCTCCCGTCAGAGCCGCCAGCAGCGGTCCCATGAACTTGTCCGACTGCACGTTCTGCAACGTGCCCAGGCAAGCCACGCACGCAGCCGCCTCTGCCCAGCGAGACACGTCGATGCATAGTGAGACATGGAAGGACTTGTCTTGTCGATGCAGGATGGCGAGGAGGAGGAGGCAAGTGCACACCGGTGGCTTGTGAGCGGGCGCGCCAGTCGCTGCCATCGGACCTGCGCTCGGTCTCGGGGAGAGTTGCCCACAGCGACTCCATGATGCAGCGGAGCACCTGGACCCATACATTAACATTTTTACACAAAATCGTTAAAATCGAGTAGAAAGCAATTGGAACGAGAAGTAGAAGTGAGAGAGGAGCCAGGGGTGCTGGGTACGGGAAGGGGCTCGCGATAGAGGGAGAAGACGCGTTGCCCGAGGAAACGGAGGGCACAGAGCTCGCAGCAGCCACATCGAAGGAGGGTGAACAGGCCGGGAATTCGCGCTTTCATGTCGCTATCGTGGATCACCTCGCCCACGTAGCGCCCGGCAGCTGCAGATTCGGCTTCAGTCGCGGTAAAGGGTGAAACCGTTGCCGCCTCTGTCTTCGCCTCCGTTTGATCTGTTTCCATCTTGGCCTGATTGGCAACAGATTCACCTCCCATTGCCTCCTCCTTGTGGATGTCCATAGCCGCCGAATCAGATGCGGCAACCCCGCCAGACACTCCTTCTTGCTGCTCGCCCTCCATTCCAGATGACGATTTTCACACTCAAAAACCATTCTTTTCTTTTGAAGAAAAATATTTCTTTCTAATTTCCCACAAAGTGTGGCTGCAATATAGAGGTGGCCCCTCTACTTGGTCGAGCCGCGAGGAAAGGGGACTAGTAGACCGACGTGCGCGTTCGTGTGTACTGGAGGAGGGCCGTGCTCTCGGAGGAGACCACCTCCGTCGGGCCCACGTGCGGGAAGGCGAGGTTGTTGTCCTCGTCCTGCAGGTCGTTGGTGGAATCCGTGTCGCCGCCCGGCTCCTCGTCGCTGTTGGCGTAGAGGTCCTCGATGAACTGGTT